GGATCGGCCCTGAGCTGGGGCCCGGAGCTAGACTCCCGCAGGGCACCCGAAGGCGGCGAGGCGGCTCCCCACACGCCCCCGAGCATCCGCCCGCTCCCCGCGCCCGGGGAACTGTGACCCTGTGTGGGTCTGGGCGATGGTGGGCCCGGTTCTTGGGTGCCGAGGAGGTTTCCGTTTCTGAGCCTCGCCTGTGTCCACACAAGACCCAGCGGCGGCCTTCCTCTTCCTGTGTGGCTGAAGATGCCGAATGCGAGGCAGGAAACGGGTTCCGCAGAGAAAAGGGGAAGTGCTGTCAGGCCCTGGGCCTTCGACTCTAGCTCTCAGCTTCGCGTCTGCCCCAGGAAAGTGTGTGGGCTGTCTCTGTCGCCCGTGGTTTTGAGGGATGGTCGTCAGCTCCTGCTTCACTCTTTGCTCTGCATGCAACCCCTCATAGACCGTCGTCTCTGTGGAAAGACTTAGGAGACCTAAGACCTCTCCAGTTAATTGTAGTGGGAAGTGGATCACTCACTCCCTGCCTTCCTGTATTTTTTTTTTTTCTCTTTAAGTGCAGGGTACAGACGTTAGTCTTAAAGATCCTAAAATCAGACGAAAGCACTCATTAGAAACTACTTGCAGCCGGGCAGTGGTGGTGCATGCCTTTTAATTCCTGCTCTCTGGAGTCAGATGCAGGCAGAGGCAGGCAGATCTCTGTGAGTTCGAGGTCAGCTTGGTCTATGAAGCGAGTTCCAGGACAGCCAGAATTGTTACACAGAGAAACCCTGCCTCAGAACAACAACAACAAACTATTTGCAAGTGCTTTTTCTCCTTTAAAAAATGTGTTTGGAGCATCAAAGTCCCAATTTTGAAGATGAAAATGTTTTTTTTGAATGAATTCTTTAGTGATCTCTACTTTAGTGTTACAACATTTTGTGACTTTTCTGCCACAAATGTGACATGCGAATTAAAATAGATTTTACTTGAACTATAGATTTTGAAGCTATTCTACTGTCCTTGATTGAATTTATTACAAACTATGACAGCTATTGTACCAATTCATTTAAGCTAAGTTTAAATTGAGCTAGAATAGGATAGGCATTGTAATACAAAAGGATGTCCAATACCACTATTGTGGTGACTAAGATTTAGTAACAGACTTTTTTTGAGCAAACTCATTTATGTTTGTTCATTAAAGATATGTTTACAGACTTCATGTAGGGATACGTAAAATGTATCTTGTTCTTTTAGATAAAGGATAAAGCAATGAGGAAAGCTAGAGTTTCATAAAGCTTCTAAGTTATCAGGTAAAAGCTTTTTTTTTTTAAAACAAAGCATGTATTGTTGCACTATATTTAAATTATAAACATTTAAACTTTTCTAAAATTCTTATAAAAGTGCTTATTTAAAAAAAAAATTCTACTTTGGTACCAAAGAGATGATGGCTCAGCAGTTAAGAGCACTTGTTGCTCTTGCAGAGGACCCAAATTTTATTCCCAGTATCTGCCTGACAGCTCACAACCATCTGTCACTAGTTCCAGGGCATCCAATTCGCTGTTCTGGCCTCCGTGGATACCAGGCACACAAGTGGTACACATACAAACATGCAGGGAAACGCACACACACACACCTGAAATAGAAATGAGTCTTAACAATGTTGTTAAAAGGACTGCAGTGGTGGCATAGTTTTTTTTTATGCCAGTACTTGGGAGGCAGAGACAGGCAGATCCCGGTGGCTACATAGTGAGACTTCATTTTTTTTTTTTTAATCCTATTCCTTGAGGGGGGTGAGATCAGTAACTATGGCAGAAATGAAAGGAATTAATTCAAACAAAAGGTTTTGTAATTGGTATTACTCTTGTAGTTATTTATGAACTTTATCCATATTTTTTGTAGATAATGATGGCTGTGAATGAAATAGCTCTGATACTCATCTGTTCATATATAGCTCTGACTTAAATCATATCACAGTTAGGAGTGTTGTGTTTCTAAAAAATTTGAGGACTAAGGGTCTATGTTTTGTTTCTTAACTACTTGTTTTTGTGAAGTCATCTTGACTATATACCTGAAGTTATAGAGATGTCTTTACAATTAAATATTAAAGAAGACATCATGAATCTTCATGTACCCCATACACTGACATATACTCATGGAGTTGGAGACTGAAAATGTTAGTTTATAAGGTAGAGTGCTTGCCTAATGTTTGAGAAACCAGGGGGTCCATCTCCAGCACTACACAAACCAAATGTGGCATATACTTATAATCCCTGCACATGGGAAGTGGTTGCAGGAATATCTTAATCATTAATCAATGGTGACTTCATTTACCTTTCGTATACTTTTGATTTTAAAATGTGGGCTATTTGAGAAGTTGATTTTTTTAAAATTTTATCATTTTTTTTTTTATAATGGTGGGAATGAACCTATGGATTCAGACATGGGAAGTAAATGAAGTATATGATTTTTCTGAGGTGTATCCCCAGCCCTGAGAAGTTAATTTTTTTAAAGATGTGTTGTATTTTTGCATGTATAGGTGTTTTGCCTGCCCAGAGAAAGAAACCTGCTTTCTAGAATAGGGCTTCTGAATTAGCCATTTAGGCAAAACTCTGCATACCTCTTTAGCTCTGAATCTTAATTCCTTTCAAATTGAGTCAGATTGCTCATGTTAATATATGGTGCTGCCAAACTTCAATATGACTCACCAACAGTAACTTCATTCACCAACAAAATGCAGATTTCCCAAGTGACTGTCAGTGTTGCTGGCACAATGCTTAAGTTTGATGGTTATACATAGACGTTTCTAGTGCTAGAACATTATACTTAGAATTCACATTTGTAGTTGTTTGTAATCTGTTTTATCAGGTTTCTACTAACTTATGTGTTGAATTTAGGAATATTTTAAGTAAAAACAAGAACTTGAATTCCATCTTGTGAAAGACAACCACTGGTCTCAAATAAGAATGGCACTGTGAAGTTAAAATACAAACACCACCAATTATTAAGGGAAAAAAATACAAAACAAATGAGCTCAACTGGGAGTTTAAAAATCCCATTGAATGTGATGGAGCACACCTGTAATTCCAGGAATTCAAGATTAGCCTGGGCTATGTGAGGCCTTATCTCAAAAGACAAGAAAATCCTGCTGGGTGCCACTTCTAGTACTTGGGAGCTTAAAGCAGGAAACTCACACAAATTCAAGGTCTGATCTATGTAGTGATGCTGTGTCTCCAGAAGCCGAGGAATCATTGCACCAGAGGTGATTGATGAAAGGAAGAGCCCGAGGCAGTGGGTGAACACAAGGAAACGATGCTGCTGGACACTAGAACCTCAGCAGTTGTGACAGCATGCACAAGACCCAAGCAAACCCAAATCAGGCCAAATTCCTGAACAGAGAAGTTAGGCCTGAAGTCCCACCCCTAGCTAAGGAACTGTTGGGATTTTTTAGCTGCTGTCATGGTGGGGAGAGAGACAGACTATTTTCTCTAATAATGTAGCCCCTGATTAGTCAGCCACACTCCCATGGAAGGCTACATACCCAAGAATATTTGGACATACTTGCCTTTTTTGGGGGAAAAAAAGGACAAAGTTGAGTGGGAAGGGAAGAGGGTATAGATCTGGGGAAGAGTTGGGGGCAGCAGGGTGAATATGATCAAAACATGTACAAAACTTAAAAAAAAAAAACCTAGTATTTTAAAATAAAAATGTTTTTGAATCTTTTTGTTTGTTTTGTTTTGTTTGTTTGTTTTTTTGGTTTTTTGAGACAGGGTTTCTCTGTGGCTTTAGAGGCTGTCCTGGAACTAGCTCTTGTAGGCCAGGCTGATTTCAAATTCACAGAGATCCGTCTGCGTCTGCCTCTGCCTCCCGAGTGATGGGATTAAAGGGTGTGCCACCAACACCTGGCTGTTACTATTTTTTGAGATAGGGTTTCTCTGTGTGTTGCCTTGGCTGTCCTGGAACTCACTATGTAGACCAGGCTGGCCTCAAACTCACACAGATCGGCCTACCTCTGCCTCCTGAATGGTGGGATTAAAGGTGGGCTCCTGGCTTTGAATCTTTTTTATTTATGGAAAAAGTTGCTTTGATATCTATGTAGACAGGTCTTTTGTTCCTTTTGCCTGAAGGAACGTTGTACCTCTTACTATTTGATGACTCAGTAGGAAGTAGAGAGCCTGCTCAAACCACAGTGCTACAAGGAAGAAACTATATATGGTAAAATCGGTTTCTTAAACACAGCCTGAAGAAGAAAAAAAAACCAGCCTGTGGCACACAGAACTAAGTCACTAGTCTTAAAATGATTGACATGCAGGAGGAATGCCAGTGATTTAAATGATACCAAAAGAATAGCATAGGAAGTAATATTTTCTTTTTGTTACATCAGGGCTCTTTAAAAATTTTTTTGAGTTAAGCTTGCCTATTAATTTTATGTTGAATTGGATTATTTTGATATTATTGGAGCCTAATACATTCAAATTTGAAGTAATGTGAAATAGTATGGTTTTTACTGTTCTATGGAATGTCTGATACCTTACAGAAATACTGGCACTGGATTCTAAGACAGTATCTGCTTCCACCAAGTTACTGCTTAGGCAGGGTAAGAGTGATGTTAGTGTTTGTTTTTGAAAGAAGGGTCTGGAGTCTGGGCAGGCCTCCAGTTTACCACATAGCTAAGGACAGCCTTGAACTTCTAGTCCTCCTGCCTCCACCTCTAATGTGCCACCATGCCTGGTTTAAGCATGATAGGCGAGCACTCCTACTATCTGAGCTACAATCCACCCCCAGGAATAGTTTCTTATTAAGTACTTACTTTTTGTTTCTATTTATAGTAGCTTTAATTTGAAGTCTAATTTTCCTCTTCCCCCCTTCTCTCCTCCTTCTCCTCCTGTAAAACACTGATAGTTTATAATTGTTTGTTTCTGCAGTTTGAGGGGATCTCAGTTTTTGTCTTC